CTGAACATGCTACTTTAAATGAGTTAAACAGAATTTGCACTGAATTTTTGAACTTCTCTGCTGATACACCTATTGCCAGACAGATCCAAAAAATAGAACAGATTTACACATTTGTAACCGAATGGGAAAAATATGCTTCAACTAAGGTATCACTATCTGCTCATTCCAAAGAACTTACTGATTTGATTGTTTCTTGGAGACAACTAGAATTACATACTTGGAAAGGATTATTTACTAATGAGGATAAAATGGCACAAAGGAATGTCAGTAATCTATGGTTTAATTTGTATGAAACAATAATTGTTGCGTACTTGGACAATTCAGAAAATTCAGAAGACGGATTAAAGTCTTATACAACGTTGTTGACATCCTTAAATATTTTCTTCTCTAAGTGTTCAATGGGTGAATATTCTATTAGATTAGACTTGGTTAATAGTTTTATTAGTCATGTACAACTATATGATAACATTAACCAAGATTTGATTAATGCTTTGAGAAACTCCCTTACCTTCTACGAACAGTTTAGGTCGTTAGTTAATGAACATATTAGGAATAATAGGAAGACTTTGGAAAAAGATATGGCTGAAGTCATTCTTTTAGCAAGTTGGAAAGATGTCAATGTCGATGCCTTAAAGCAAAGTTCTCGTCGTTCCCATAACAGTTTATACAAAATTGTTAGAAAATACCGTGACATCCTATCTACAAACGTCCAAAGTTTAATTGAAAGTGGTATTTCAGCCTCGGTAAAATCAAATATCACAGTTAGCTCTATTAAGAATATTTTATTTAAGTCGTTTGATTTAATGCAAGCTAAGGATCTTGTTTCCACTATTCCATCCTGGGAAACTAGAAGTGATATTTTAAAGAACATCGATGTTGTTGATTCAAATATGAAAAAATATGTCGACAGTATAATGTCAGTAGATTATCCAAAATTGAAGGATCTTGCTTCTGAGTTTAACACTGAAGCCGATAGATTGAGAAATGAAACACCAGGTACATTAACAAAAGAAAACAAGAAGCTCATTGCTACTTTAAAGAATCAAAAGGCAAAACTGTTTAGCGATGCTTTAAAAGAATTAAAGAGAGCAGGTTTAAAAACAACATTTAGAGAAGATATCCATAAAGTTCAATTGACATCCACTTTAGTACTAGCTAATTCACGTTCATTTGTTGGCACAAACTTTGAAAACTGTGACGCTTATTTTTTCAGAATATTAGATATGTTACCTAGAATGAGAAGCGCTGTATCGAATCCAACAGATGACATACCTATAGCAAATATTGAAAAGGGTATGGCCATAGCCGAGAATCTGATATTTTCTTTAATTACTGTTAGATCAAAACTGGTGGAAATTTCTTACCAACAAAATTCTATTGATGAATTGGGTTCAATTTTATGTTCAATTTCTAATGTTAAAGGAAATATCAATCACTCTAACATATGTATGAGTTTCGATAAATACAGATACTACATCAAATGGATGCCTAAAATGATTGATTATGCCGTCGAAGCATTTAATGCTATCGGTTCCCTTGAAAATTTAGGAATGTGCATTGAATTTTTGAACCAATCGAAGATTTCTCTGAAATCTTTCGAAATGTCCATCTCTCACAAGAATATCTATGAAAGCGATGATAGTAAATTGCTTGACAAATTCAATATGTTCATCGAAAACTTTATCAGTACATTAGAAAGTTTCAAATCAAATAATCCATTGTTTATGTTTGATGTATTAATTGACTGGATAGTACAAGTGAATATAGAAGAATGTGAACCAACTAAGGCAGATATCTCTATCGAAGAGATTGAAAGATGTTCACGTAGTATATTTACTTCGATACTTCTTTCTTTCCAGAAATTGATGTCTTCCCCTTACTTGGCAGATGGTATACAAGATTCTGATGATTATTGGTTATCATCGACTTCTAAATCTATTATGTTTAATATTAAATCGCTTCAGGGAAAGAAGCTTGTTTCACAAATCCAAAATTTGGTAAACCTATTAAAAGATGGTTTATTTTCCTCTAATAACTCATTATTAATAAAGGCAATAATTGGATTTACAATGCCATGTATTCAACATTACTCCATTGTAATGAATGATATAGTATTGAAATCTAGAGAATACTATCAAGATTTGTCATATGGTTCATTTATACTTTCTGTTCTTTTATTGAATTTAGCAAAAGATGGTTTTTGTTCTCCAGAATTACCTTCTGAAGAATCCCATGATTCTAACTTACAAGACGGTACTGGTTTAGGTGATGGTGAAGGTGCACAAAACAATTCTAAAGATATTGAGCAAGACGATGATTTAACTGAAGATGCTCAACAGGCCAACAAGGAACAGGATAAGAATAAGGATGAGGAGAATGAAGATGAAGATCAGGATGCAGTTGAAATGGAAGGTGATATGGCAGGTGACCTAGAGGATCTATCAGATCAAGATGATCAAGATGACATGAGTGAAGATGAAGAAGAAAATGATCTAGATGAAGAAATAGATGATCTAGACAATGATGATCCAAATGCAGTTGATGAAAAAATGTGGGACCAAGAAATCAATGACGATGTAAAGGAAAAAAATACTGACCAGAATATGGATAGCAATTCCGGCGATCAAGATATAGAAGCTGCTGAAAATGATGATGATGCTAAAGGTAATGATGAAGGCAAGGAAGAAAAGGAAGATAACAATGTAGAAAATGAAAATGAAGAGAATGTTGATGGAGATGGTGATAACATTTCTGACAATGACGATGAAGACGAAAATGAAGAAGATGGAGATGAAGGTGCAGGAGAGCAAGAGGATGAAGTTCGTGACGATAATACTGAAACGTTAGATGAAAATATCCAAGATTCTGAAATGTTGGACTTACCAGATGATATTAATCTGGATTCCGAAAACGATGTAGAAGAAGAGTCTTCCAATGACTCAGATATAGATCATGAAAATGAAAACGATTTTGAAAATGAATCAGAAGAAATGGAAAAGATGGAAATCAAAGAAGATGAATTGGATGAAGAAGTCAATAATCACTCCATGGATGAACAAGAGGATATTGAGATGGATGAAGTCGAAGACAATAACAATGAAGTAGGTAGTGATCAAGAAAATCATGACTCAAACGATGAATCAAACGAGAATGAAGAATTATCGGATGAAGAAGAATTGAAAGATAAGGAAAATGAAGCTGAAATGGAAAAAAATGGTGAAAATGCTACTGAAGGTGTTGAAGGATTAGATGAATCTCTCGAAGATGAAACTGTCGATGCTGATGCTGCAATTGAACAACAAGCCGGGTCGAAAGGTTCCGGATCCAATAATAAGGACGACGAAGAACAAGAAGATGTAGGCAATTTTGGTGAAACCCAAAATGCTCATGAAGAACAGGATTCGAATGATTCAACTGAACAATCTAGAAAAGATGCTAAGGAAACACTAAAGAAATTAGGTGACAGTATGAAGGAATTTCATAAACGTCGTCAAGAAATAAAAGAGAGTAAAGAAGAAGAAGATAACGAAGATAATTTTGAAGGCAAAAATGAAAGAATTGACGAATTTGAACATGTCGACGGTACAAATACCGATACAAATACCCAAGCAATGGGTGCAGCTGATCAAGATGAAATTCAAACAATCAATGACGACATGGCTATTGATGATGAAATTTCTGAAGACGAAGATATTGAAATGAAAGAAGAAGAAAACGAAAATGATATATCTCAGCATGATGATTCAGAACCTAAGCAAGATGACGCTGACAGAAATGCCGGTGATGATGAAACCACAACAAGCAAGGGTGGATTCATTGGTGAGCGTAAGGATCTAGAAAGCAATGATTTTATTTCGAAGACCCAACTGCTAGAACATGATGAGGATGAATTGGAAGAACTAATAAATCATATAGATTTAGAAACACGTCAATTACAACTCATTGAAGATCCATCTAGACCTATTGATGAAGCACGTCAATTGTGGCATGACAGTGAACTTGCGACATCAGACCTTGTTTCCAGATTGGGTGAACAGCTTCGCTTAATTTTAGAACCTACTTTAGCCACTAAATTAAGAGGTGATTACAAAACTGGTAAAAGGTTGAATATGAAGAGAATTATTCCATACATTGCTTCACAATTCCGTAAAGATAAAATATGGCTAAGGAGAACAAAACCTAGTAAAAGACAATATCAAATTATGATCGCGCTAGATGACTCTAAATCTATGAGTGAATCTAATTGTGTGAAATTGGCATTCGATAGTTTATGTTTGGTTTCAAAGACCTTAACACAATTGGAATCTGGTGGCTTATCCATTGTCAAATTTGGTGAAAACACAAGAGAAGTTCATCCGTTTAATCAACAATTTAGTAACGAATCTGGTGTGAAGGCATTCCAGTGGTTTGGATTCCAGGAAGAAAAGACTGATATTAAGAAATTAGTTTCTGAATCGATTAAAATTTTCGAACGTGCTCGCTCTTTCAACTATTCAGAAGACTGGCAATTAGAAATCATTATATCTGATGGTATATGTGAAGACCATGAAACAATTCAAAGGTTGGTTCGTCGTGCAAGAGATAACAAAATCATGTTAGTTTTTGTTATTATTGATGGTATCAACTCAAATGAATCTATTATGGATATGAGTCAAGTGAGATATGAACCTGATCACAATGGTAACTTGCAATTAAAGATAGATAAATATTTGGACTCATTCCCATTTGAATTTTATGTTGTTGTTCATGACGTAAGTGAACTACCTGAAATGTTATCGATTATTTTACGTCAATATTTTTCAGATTTAGCATCGTCATGATGAAATCTGTGCGACCTAATTTAATTTGTATTTAGAAACTATATTTTAACACACACATATATATGCGAATAGACTTTTTAACTTATGTATATTAAAGAAAATGTAATTAATTTTTAAATTATTATTTATTAATGCTTAAATTTATCTGTTTTTATATAAAAATTTATATGTCAATATACATTATGTTGAAAAACCCTTTACTGCCATTTCATAAACCCATCCACAATCCCTTACACCATTGAACTTGATTTTAGAGTTCCCACTTAGATCGTCATATTTTCTGTTAATATCCTCATTATCAGTTGCAGGCTTTGATATGCATACAAAGGTACCATCAGGTAGACTACATTTCAACTGAGACCCTGGGAAGGGACAAGGACAAGAACTTGGAGAGTCAACACATTCTTCAGTGTCAGGACACAAATATCCAGGACATTGGTTCGACAAAGCTCTTTCTTCATGGGGACTCAAAAACCCTTCTGCAGGATTAGCATTTTGATGATGTTGCTGTTGTTGCTGTCTTTGATTACCTTGAAAGTTAAAGAACCCCTGACTATAAGGTAAAAGTAACAGTATAGCAAATAAAAACCTCGTAAAAAAGCCAGCAATCATAATTTCAAATGATATTAACCAATATTGAACTAGTTCAGTAGTCTTACTCGCTATCAGAATCGTCAAATACCCTCTAAACTATTCATTCTTCTGTCAGGTTGTTATTTAAAATTATTTCGAACTCGTTGAAATATTAACACGATGACAATTTCCATATCGAAGAACGAAGAAAATGAGCCAATCACGTGATAATATATACTAATAGTATATTTATAACTTACAGGTTTTTGACAAGATAATAATCAATATGTAACTACATCTTCCATTTCACTGGTGTTATATATATGTATGTCTGTTTTAGTTGTCAATGTTATTTTAACACTCGGTCTCAGATTTGTCCTTTCAAATGGCGACATAAATTCACCTTGTCAGCAATGGATACAATAATAGTCTTGAAAAATGTTTGTATAGTTAAAAAAAGCCCAAACTACAAAGGTACAAACTACAAATAGAAATGGCGACTTCAAATATTTGTTTTAAATCGTACTCAACAGTTTTATCGTTTTGAAGAGGGTAAACCTGGATAAAACACAATTGATGGAACCTTCCATCAACGCAATTCAAATGCAACAAAAAAGTAACACATCAATTAGTAACATATAAATATCGACTTCAAGTCACTGATATGCCACCATCAAACCAGATCCTCTAACCGCTAGGCCCTCTGACACAACGTCATCTCATCTCATCTCTTTGACTTGGCTTTTTCATTTTGGCGTTTTATTTAAAATTAATTCAAAAAGTTTACGCGTCTCACTTTTAAACTGAACAATTTTTATCAGCACACTTTTAAATCCAAGATGATAGTTATAAAGATGGATTGGAGGTCAAAACAGTTGCAGTTTGGATCACATAACAGACCAATTGTGCTGTAGTAGTTGGTATTTGTTGGTGCAGAGGGGAGATCATAGAAGTTTGGAAAAAGAGTCGACAGAATTGGACTGATTATATTAAGCATCTCTACTGATTGAAGAAAGCAAAAAACATACATTTATATATAAATATACAAATAAATTGGGATGTATTACAGTTTGGATAGAATACCTGATGCTTATCATGAGATTCTGCGTAACTCTTCCAGTCATTCTTCCTGCCAATTGGTTATATTTGTTTCCTGTTTAAATATTGATGCGTTATGTGCGACCAAGATCCTGTCAATACTGTTCAAGAAACAGTTGGTTCAATTACAAATAGTTCCTGTGTTTGGATATTTAGAACTACGACGCCATTACAAACAGTTAGACGATAATATTAATAGTGTTATGTTCGTCGGATGTGGTGCTGCCGTCGATTTGGAATCATTCCTAGAGATAGATCCAGATGCATATCTTATAGGCGAAGATGATAATGGGAAGAAAACCTTTAGCAGAACTCTGTATGTTCTTGATGAACGTAGACCGTGGAGTTTAGATAATCTGTTTGGTTCCGAGCTTGTGAAATGTTTCGATGATGGGACAGTGGATGAAACTCTAGATCAACAGAAAAAGTCATATAACGAATTGTTGAAATTAGAAGCAGGTAACCTTGAAGAAGATGGGACTGATGACGATGACGATGACGATGACGATGACAATGACGATGAAAAAAGTGATGATGATGGGGAGGAGGATTTTGACAACAATGGGCAGGAAACAGATGATGATAATAAAAATGAAGACGACATAGTATCTGGGGAAAAGAGACCTAATGACTCTGAAGAATCTTCCAAGAAAAGGAAAAGGAAACAACGAAAAAGACTAATGAATAAGCATGAAGCCATTTTAGAGGAATATTATTCTCAAGGTACAACCGTTGTCAACTCAATTTCAACCCAAGTTTACTCTCTAGTATCCTCCTTAGGTGAAAGTAATCTACAATATCTGTGGTTGACAATTTTGGGTGCATCGTCATTAGATGCTTCTTATCCACAAGTTTACAATAGACTATCACCAATTTTACAGGATGAAGTTAAAAGATTATCTACAAGAAGGACATCTACAAAAACCCCAGACAGCTTATCAGTTGACATCCAACCAGATTATTATTTATTTTTACTAAGACATTCTTCATTGTATGACAGTTTTTATTATTCAAACTATGTTAATGCAAAGTTATCGTTATGGAATGAAAATGGTAAGAAAAGGTTACATAAGATGTTTGCTAGAATGGGTATACCGTTAAATACAGCTCAAGAACATTGGTTATATATGGATCACTCCATAAAAAGAGAGCTAGCAGTAATTTTTGATAAAAATTTGGATAGATATGGTTTGCAAGACATCATTAGAGATGGGTTTATACGTACATTTGGTTATCATGGATCTACTAGTGCTAGTGAATTTGTAGAGGCATTAACAGCATTATTAGAAGTTGGTAATTCTATATCAAGCGGCGATAGGGATAATAAAGATGATACGAGTAATAATAATGAAGATAATGATGATGAAAACAATAATGAAATCGACAATAACAAAAATCAAAAAAAATGGATTTCAAATTTTTGGTTGAGTTGGGATGCATTAGATGATAAAAACCCTGATTTGTTACAAAAAGGTATCAGACATGCACAATTTTTACAGAAGGCCATATTTAATACAGGTGTTGCAATTTTAGAAAAGAAATTATTAAAAAATTTAAGGATATATAGACTGTGTGTTCTACAGGATGGTCCAGATTTAGATTTATTCACTAATCCACTTACATTGCTGCGACTTGGGAATTGGCTGATCGAATGTTGTGCAGAATTAGAGGATAAGCAATTATTGCCAATGGTAATTGCAAGTTTGAACGAATCAACAGATACATACTTAGTAGCAGGTTTATCACCAAGGTATCCAAGAGGATTGGATAATCTAATGGCTAAGAAACCCATCTTAAACAATTTTGCAATGGCATTTCAACAGATTACTGCTCAAACTGGTGCAAAATTAAAGATAGATAATTTTGAAACAACTATTATTGAAGTTCATCGTGAAGATTTATCACCATTCCTAGAGAAACTAACCCTAAGTGGTTTGCTTTGAATATTTGATAGAGATATTGAATCCTTCACATCAAGGATATGCATTTATAAACTAAATAACATTGTATAAGCATTGGAATTCTTAATGTAATTGATATATTCAAAATTGAAAGCTGTTAAAGCTCGATGATATCAACAATCTTACTTAGGATCAAGCGAGATTGTTTAGTTTATAAGAATTTTGTCACAAATAAAAGTGATTTATGAACAATCAAAGCAATAAATAACGATGGTTTACAAGGCTGATAGGGTTAAACTATGAATAATAATAATAATAATCATAATAATAACAATAATAATACTGATAATGATCAGTCCAATTCTTTTCAACTGCCATCGCTACCTCCATGGAAGTCACCTCGATTTAAGACTAAGAGAGAAATACATTTAACTACACCATTACGAAGGCCAACAAGAGTATATCCCGAGAATAATGGAGATAGTAGGAGAATATCATTATCAGGACCACAGTTTGAGATTTCAAATGTGCTTATGGCAAGAGGCCAATCTAAGGATAAGCTAGAAGAGCTCCATAAATTTGGCTTATCAGAAGAGTATGACGAATACGATTGTTATTCTTTAACCAACAAGACTCTAGTTAGAGAAAGCAAAATACAAAACTTTTTACAATCTGAAAGAGCTGTTCATTGTTTGGTATTTCATAAAGATGCACATATCAATCAGATGGATTCATACAGACCAGATATTAACTACAATTGCGGCGATGGGGATGAATTAGATAGCAAGGAAGTTAGAGAGGATTCATCACTACTGATAAATGTACCAGGATATACCAATGAGGAACTGACTGAACAAATAAGTCGAGGTCAATTCATTGAACGACCAAACATAAGAAGGATAGACGAAATTCTAAATCATGAAGTAAATGATTTAACTAAATTCTGGAATAATTCGACATTAGCACATTCATTCGAAAGAAATACATTGCATGAACAATACTTGATACTTCAACGGGAGCAGAAGGAATTGGCCAAGATTAAGGAATCAATGAGAAGAGACTCAAGAAACTATAACAAAAACCTAAAGTTCAGCTTTAACTTCGAACAATCAACGCATTTTTGAAACCCTCCCCCCATCATTCATTACATATTTAAATAATTTATAGATAAATTTAATTAAAGATATTTTACCATTTATTAGGTGATATAAACATTATTTGAGATCTATCTACTTATCTTATTTCATTCGTTAGATTGGGACTCTTGTATTCGTAATCTGATTTTTCAATTTTTCATCCCACTCATTCTTCAAATTATCCATATATTTAAGAACATCATTGCTACCAGTTGAATCTATTTCTTGAGTTTCGATGTATTCCCTAGCATCCCACGTTGTAGCTGATCCGTATTTCAACTGTTGATCTTTAATGTTTGTGTCTTTCATTGTAGCAACATATACTGGAGCATTGGCAGCCTTGTAACCAACGATATTATGCCATTTAGAACCCAACAATCTAGCTAAATAAAACATAAATAACATACCATAGTAGGTGAATACATTCAAAAACTTGTTAAATGAGTTACTTTGGAAAATACCCGGATGAACAAGATATTGCTTAATCCCTTTTGAAGCAAGATCTTTGTAAGATGCTAAATGTAACAAATCAACTAATCTTTTAGAACCTTCATAGGTAACATCTGATTTAATCATTTGGAGATCATTAAATGATAAGTATTTTGGATCAGACATTAAACTCGATACCCATACAATTCTGGCATGGCCAGCAACCAATTGTGGTAAAATCTTTTGAATTAAATAATATGGACCAAAAACATTAGCTTGAAAGACTAAACCCATTCCATCTTTAGATTTAACACCAACTCTTTGGATTCTATAGTTTGGATTAGTAACAGCCTCCATTGGTGCTGTCAATGATTGTTTTGTAGCACCAACCCAATCAATACCATCGTACACACCTTGAGCAGCGTTAACAAAAAAATAATGAATTGCCTTGTATTTTTTCAAATCATTGTAAGCACTCAATACACTAACCATATTAGTGAAATCAACTAATAAATAATCATAATCAACAACACCAGGACGATTTAATTTATCTGCATATTTCTTAATTTGATCAATAACTTCACGTACACGAGGCAAAGTTCTTGAAGTTACAACAATTGTCAACCTAGTATCTGGATCCTCCCTCTCCAACAAACGATAGACAATATTCAAACCGAGATTACTATAAAATATGTGTTAGTATATCCTATAATCCAAATATTAAAACCCATTGAAACATATGTAATTTCTGAAAACATACCTGTTAGTACCAGTAACAATCGCAACTTTTCTTTCACCCATTAGTTCAGAGTAATTTTTGATCTGTTTTCTTGGTAAAAAGAAACCACAACTATTTTATATAATTCTCACAAATGAATTGAACTTAAACTTATCAATTATACCTAGTGTTTATATCTAAACATATCTGATTAGCTTCTTAAACCATTTACTTTAACTTTTGCTTGGTTTTTTATATTCTGTTTCGAATTTTTGATATCTCTTCCATTCGGCTAAGAAAGACCCCGAGCCCTAAACGACGAAATTGACATGATAAAACTAGTCAAGTTGGGAAAAGAACAGTAATACCTGATGGGGTCTTGGTAATAAAGAACATGTTTAAGGATTGTGAGTGTATTATTAGGGAGATAGTTCAATTAATATCAAATGTGTCTGGACAGATACATCCACAACCTGATGGGCATTCGTTTGAAGAATTCCACCATTCTTTTGCACAGTAGGAATGCATCACATGTTGACAGTTACCGCAGTTAAAAATGCTTCTTGTAAGTTTTAAATTGCAAAAACAACAATTACGTACTGTGTTGAATTCTGATTTCTGATTATTTACCCATGTTGTGTTAATCCCATCGAATTGTTTTGTATACATGTATGAGTTTTTTGTATTCTTTAAATCTTTTGATCCTATTTGAATCTTTAATATCTGAGCTCTTTCAATCGGTAGACCCCAACGAAACAACAAATTTGCGTAATTATATATGTATACCTTCATTCTGAATGCATCTTCGTCGTCAATTAATGAATTTGTTTCACTATCGATTACATCTAGAATTTCATCATGAATAAGTTCCACTTTGATTTCAGGGACCCTTGTCGGTATGTGTAATGTTGGTGTCATAGATGATGAGATATTGTTTCCACTCAATTCATTTCCCCACAGACCTGCCCTTCTATTACTACTTTGATTATTTCTGAAATTGAAATAGTCTTCGGATTGGATAGAGTATATATCAGGTGATTGATTTTTTTTCAATCTTGGATGGACGTCAGAGAGATTTGAAGTCATATTACTAATCGATTTTTGGGAATTGATGTCATTCTTCCAATCATCCATATTCCGTTGAGCAGGAAATGATATAATACTTTCTACTCTTTTGTCAGCTGTAATATTATTTTCTTTACTAACTTTTTCATCAAGAAAAGATGCCCTAGGATTGGCTAATATACAACTTATCATTGCTAGCATTTGTAAATTATTTTGTTTTTCAAAATAGCGAATAGCTTCTTTAACAAACCATTTAATACCCATTGGATGAATATCCCATGCGACATTATACGGATCATCTTCTCCTTGTGACATTAAATAATCAGACAAAATTTGCCAACAATGACTAATTTCTTCACAACCATACTTTTCAGCAATTAATGCATTATTTCTTGCCATATCTTCTGAATTTTTGTCAAAGAACTGATATTCTAAGGCAAGTTCTCTTTTTTCCGGGATCAAGAAGCTATAATCAAGCATCTTAATTATATTTCTTGTTGATTTTATCGATTCTGCAGTTTTGGTCGAACTTGCTCCATATCCTGTATTAAAAACATTTCTAAAATTACCATGTATATGTGGCAGATTATTCTTTAAAATTCTATCGCTTCTTAGAAATTCATCCCAATCATCGACAAAGCTGTCAGAACTATCATCAGATAATTCTTCATCGTCAGTCGTCGCATTTGCTTCTTTGGATCTTGTAGGGGTGATTATTGTATCTACGTATCTTTTGGGTCTTGAACTTATTCTTTGTGAAGGTTCATCCTTAAATGCATCATTTTTAGTAGATTGTTTTACTTCTTGATTATTCTTGTGTTGTTTCAAACTTTGAGTCTTTACTATTCCTAATACATTACTCTTCTTGTCAATAGTGCTTTCGCCAGCGAAAAAGCATAATAACTGTCCAGAAGCTGTCCAAACCATGCCTGATTCATTCGGTACAGGAGTACTATCAAAGGTGATATCACGTCCTAAAAAGCGCATATCATTTGTATTTTCAGTTTCAGCGAATGTTTTATTAATGTCGTCTTCCTCAGTTTCACTTGAACTAGTGATATAATCAGAGCTGTTTATTGAAGATAAATCATCATAAACAACATCAGGCAATTCAAAATTCATGAATTGAGCTTCTTTATTTTCGATATCTTCTAAATCGACCTTTTCACCTAAGACAAATCTTAAGCAGGGTTCTAAACAGTATAGACCTAAATCTGTGTATTGTTGACTAATTTCTTTTAAAGTAGACGATAATTCTTTCCTTTTTGCTTCCGTTAATTTACTATTCTCTTCTATTGTAAATATTGGCTGATTGTTTTTATTTGGGTAGTTTGAAGGTAATGATACTTGTAATCTGATAAATATGAAATCTTCAGGGTTTGACTCGAGCCAAGGGCCCCTTAGCATTATTACTAACTCACCAGTTGAAACAGAGATTTTTTCAAATACAACCTTAGGAAACTTATGACCAATTGAACTAACCTCTTCTCCAAGGTTTTGAAATTTACGTTCTTTAAAGAAATGATCAGTCGTTACGTTATCATTTATTCGTACACCCGATAGCCAATTAATATGATTAACGTCATTACTATTAGGGAGACCCGAGGTTCCTACAAAATCTTCTTTTATTCTTTTATAGTTATCTTTTAAGACCTTTTTCGTAACTGCAGGTTCGATATTATGTGTGTTATATTCATAATTAGGTAATGGCTTGTCAAGCTTTCTCCCTTGTTTGAAGTCGACCTTTTTATAAATATCGTCATTAATAGGCCATAGTCGTAAATCGCAATCTTTAGATAATGTTACTAATTGGAATTCTCTGTCATCTACAACAGAATCGTATTGATGTCTTGATCTCCATATAAAGTCTATCACTCTATCACTATGGCCTTTATAGGTATATATTGGATTGAAAGGTATAACTTTATCCTCGTTACATTCAAGCTCAATATCCTTCAAACTTAGCATATAAACTGAATTTTCACCACCTACCATTGGCATTAAACAACAGCCTTCACCGAATGGTAAATAACGTCCTCTCCATATAGGGAAATCAGTGTTTATCGAATATTTACAAGTGTCACTATTGACAGAATAATCCCAGAACTTGACAGTACCATCGTTAGAACATGTCATAATCTCCGACTTCTTGAAACGATTAAAATCAACACTATTAACACTGCTGGTATGGCCTAGTAATTTGCAAAGTGGTGTAGAACCATTTCTTAAATCCCAGATGCAAACATCATTACCATGGGAGGATGCCAAAATGTTAGGATCAATAAAATTCCACTTCACTTGTGATGCACCAGACCTCCATTCACTTGTCGAATAATAAGGCCTGTTAGGACTTCTCAAATCCCAAGCATGAATATAGGTATCAATCGAGCAAGTAGCTAAAATATCAGGGTGTTGACGATTAAAATTAATATCTGTAATAGCCCTAAAATGAGCATGAATAACATGTTCAATTGAATTTGAGGATGATCTTGCAAGATCCCAAATAATTGCCTTTTGATTTGAAGTAGAAACAACCCAGTTCGGTTTAGCAGGGTGAGGTGACCATTGAACATCGGCTACTTGCCAGGGAGTAATATGATGCAACCAGCGGGGGGGAGAGAATGGGTCATCTAAATCAATTATATATAAACCCTTCCTACTAGCTAAGACAACATCTCTACCGGAAGGATTAATAGATATAGCATTAAACCCACCATCGACTCTTAGAGATAGTGACTTCCCAAAAGTTGGTGATTCGTATGGATTATCTCCTACAAAACCAGCCATTCCTCATAAAACAATCAATTAAAGGTCGGCAACTATCTTAAACGCAATCCTTGATATTAATTATGTATTATCTTATGGATTCTCTAACCAAATAAATCATGAAGTCGAGTTCATCTCTATTATATACCATATCTCTTAAATAACCTTTAATAACTGATATATATTATGTCACGTGTAAATATTTGATAATTAGCAGAATAAGCAAAGAATATAGCCAGAAGAATGTTTTACTTGCAGATAATGAACTTGTTTACGATAGATTACTACGTAAATATCAATTTTATCTATTAAATAAATTTATATTAATGTATAACATTATAAAAAATAAAAGATGGTGCTTATTGTAATTTTTTAGGATCAAGATCTAGTAACAGCATCAAAAATAGCTTTGTATGGAGCTCTAAAACCAGTCCATCTTTCAAATTGAGCTACACCTTGATGAACCAACATCTGGGCACCAGGAACAGTCTGCCATTGATATTTGTCATGGGCTAGCTTCATTATTGGAGTAACAGTTGGCTTGTAAGCAGCTTCAAGCAAAGTAGGGACAAATGATGTATGAGAAGATTTCACTAAGAAACGTTCTAATCTTGATAACAAGCCATCATCGATTGGTTTATCTCCTGGAATACAACTAACTGCTACAGAGATTTTATCATCCAATTTTTCAATTTCTTCGACTGCATCTAGAATGACAATATTATACTCGGCTGGGAAAGAATCTCTAATTTCAGCTAATTTTGATGATGTTCTATTCAACAAATAGATGTTGGAGCATCCTAAAACATGCAAGGCATGAATAGCAGCTCTTGAAGTCCCACCGGCACCGACAACTAAACCAGATGCTCCAGAAATATTTTCAGGTACACCATTGTTAACCAACGAATTTCTAATACCTAACCAGTCTGTATTATCACCTAAGTATTTATCATCGCCCAATGGAATAACTGTGTTAACAGCACCTATAATATGGAGCTGCTTCAGTTAACTCAGTCATGGACTTCATGATATCTAACTTCAAAGGAAAAGTAACTGGCAGAACCACCTAGTTCTTTTTTACCATCCCATAAACTGGCTCTTGACATCTTCTGCAGAAAAAGTCTCAAAACTTATCAAAGGTGTTTAGCCAAACCTAATATCTCATACCCAGTATTATGCAATATTGGAGATCTCGAATGATCGATTGGATTACCAACCACATAGAATTCCATTGGAGAAAATCCTCCCATTGAAGTAAAAATTTGGTTAATTTCCTTTAAAGTCAACTGGCCAGGAGCAGCGGCAGTTGGCAACAATGATGATGTAATAGGAGTTAAAATTGGATTCAAAACACGTGAAACCTTACCTACATCAGACATGTTAATAGCAATTAATGGTTTGGATGTATGGCTATCTCTGAACTTTTCTAGCTTCAGGTTATCATCAAAGTTAACTGCTTTGCCAACAAATTTGATGATGTCTACATCTAAAGATAATGCTTGACTATATTTAGCACTCCATTCGGCATCATCCCAAGGGAATTTAGCGTCAAAATCATGATGAGAACCAATAATCTTGGTGTGACGTTTGTTATTTGACACGTAGTATTGGATGCTTGGAGGCATAGTTAACTCTAAATCAATAAATTCGACACCGGCCTTCAATGCTAAGCAGAATAAACGTTTCATTGATTCATAATCATTATCTGGGAAGTGACCACCTTGACTTTTAGTCCTAATGGTAAATATAATAGGCATGTAATCAGTGGCAGACCTCAAAATCGATAATTGCTTAGATACAAATTGTTGTTCATAATTTGCTAAATGATCGACTCTGACTTCAATTGCGTCGCAACCGTATGAAATTTCTTCCAAATGGTCAACATGCTCAGTTAAATCTTTGAAAGTCAAACAAACGAAGGATGATCTGTTCTTTGGAACGCCTAGTACTCTTTTACCGGTAACTCTTAGGATATATTTATCAAAGGTTCTCCTTAGATTTTGGAATTCTTGTTCAGTAGAGCAATGAGGAGCAAAAAACTCGAAATTTGAACATTCATTGTACCACTTTTCTCTTCTATTCCAAACGCTTCTAATCTCTTCAACATAAGCAGGTCTTGTTGGATCGCTTTCCAAAAATATAATTGTCTCATCAATGTCTCTGTGTAAATGTAACACTACACCACCAGCGGCAGCAAAACCTTTCAAGGCTTCTCTAGATTGGGTACCTTCTACAATACCACCGCCAGTAGAGAAAACATAGCCCGAGTCTCCGTATTTATCAATCATTTCCTTGAATAATTCAGTTTCTTGCTTACGGAATTCTTCCCAACTGTTCTCACTCACAAATTCCTTGACTGTTTGATTATTATGTCTCTCTTCAAACAATTCATCTAAATCAACCAGAGTGTAACCAAGTGAGGCTGCACACCATTTACTAATTGTAGTTTT